GCCCTCCGTCCTTCCCTGCCCCGGCGCTTTGAAGTGGAGCTGCTTTGCTCGCGTGCTGTCAGCGCAGCGAGCCGGGATCCCAGCGCCGTGTCACCAGCATCACTTGTAGCCTCTGTGGGTTAAGCCAAGAATAAAGACTCCCGGGGCATGAGCCTTTTCTGATGTAAACTCCTCTGATCTCCTGGCCCAGCCCAGCCCCTGCGCAAGAAAACACCTTCCCTGCGCTTCAGTGTGCTGCTGTCAGGGAATTCACACTTCACAGGGGACTTTGCGTGGGTTAAATACAGCCCAGTGTATTAAATACAGCCCTCGTGCAGGATGGCACAGGCAGCGCTTGGCGGGGGGGGTGTGTGTGTTCGGATGTGGCTGCTGCTCTCAGTGCCATCGGGATGTGTGCCCCAGGGACACGGCTCCACTTGATGACATCCCTGCGGGACTGGGGGAATCCGAGGAGGCTGATGGGGATTCAGGGAACAGGGTTTAAATGTAGTGCTGGGAAACACTCCTGAGCTGGGCAGAAGTATTTGGGTGCTTATTCCAAACTGCTTTTTGATTCTTTATCCCCAAGTGCAGCCTCGATCCCAAACTGGCTTTAGGGAGAGATTTCCAAGGTTGCCACTGCAAAGTGACCCAAACTCACCACAAGTGAAATCAAACTGTTCCAACTGGACCATTCCCCACCCAGCAGAGCCACAGTGCACCCAGGATGGGATCAGCCCTTGAAGTTCCAGCTACCCTGGCCTTGGCTGCTGCTTTCTCCGCACAACCCAGTGTCCGAAGCCCTGCCTTGCTGTGCGGGAGTCCTTACAGAGCCATGCCACGGCCCTATTCCCTGCACATGGGCTGGGCTCTGGGGGCAAGGAGTATTCCCCAGGGCAAGGAGGCTCTGGGGAATACACGAGCTGAGCTGCAAGGATTTGTTGTTGGAGTCCTATTTATGGGAAAACACAGCCCCTTTTTGTAACTGGAGAATCCCCTCTGCAATACATGCAAAGATCTGGGGTGATTTCAGCTGAACAAGCTGAGGTTCAGGGTTTAATGGTGGCATCGGGAGAGAAAGAGTTGAAGCGGAGCTAGAAAACGAAACATCCCGGCTGCAGCCGAACAAAGCAGCTCCTGTGACCCCGGAACGATGTTTTTATGGGGTTGTTTTTGTACTGCACCAAACTCGAGGACTCTGAGCAATCGGGGATGAAGGATTGTTTCTGTCAGGTTTTACAGCTCGGGCACGCTCCCAGCTCTCCTCCCGCCCGGCTCCTCTCCAAGCTCCCACCCGCGCCAAGCCCCGCACCAGCCAGGCCCATGGCCAGCAGGTCCTGGCATGGTTGTGCCTCTGCCCCTCACAGGAGCAGCTCCTGCCTGTCCCAAGTCCCGGGGATGGCAGCAGGGCTGGAGCACGGGGGGGGTGCAGGGACAGAGACCACTGCAGGCAAAGGGGGACAGCTCTGCTCTGGAAGAGCTTCTGAGAAGTGGAAAGGCTCATTTTGGTGCCCGTCTGGGAGCTCACTGGAGAAATAAAGCCCCAAGAACTCCTATACATAAAATACATGTATATAAATATCTACCTCCCCCAAGGCGCGAGGTCCCACTGAGCAAGTAGATGTGGATGACGTTGTAACCTAACACTTTCCCAGACACCCTAATGAATTTTCCATGTTTTCCACCGTGTAGCTTCTAAATAGGCTGTTTTTAAACAGAACACCACCCCAACCCCAACAAAGTACTCATCCTCTCCAGCAGGACGGCCCGGCAGCAGGATTAACCCCCATGATGCCCGTGGAGGTGATGCCGAAGCGGGAGCTGGTGGTGATGTGTGTCCATGGGGGTTGTTGTTTGCCAGTTCAGGAGTCTCTGGGGGTGCTCAGCACCACGCAGGGCTCTTTGTCCCCACTCTTTCAGAGGAACCGGACTGTGCACTAAGGATGCTGGTCGTTCATTTGGGCAAGGTTCATTAAGGGCTTTGACAAGGGAAGAGATGGTGTGGGCCAGGCGAATCCCTGCAGCAGCACAGGAGGCTCCTTCCCCACGTCCCGCGCAGCACAGAGACTTTTTGTAAGTTGAGAGTTTATTTATTAAGACAGGCAGTTTGGAAACAACAGAGTCATTAAACCAGAGGCTGGGGTTTAGAGTTTGGTCTGGAAAGAGAATATAATAAGATTTTTGCTGAGACTTTTGTTCTCAAAGGAAACATTCTTCATTTTTCCTAGGAGATTTTTCAGCCCGAACTCCACTCAATTTAATGTCTGAATGCTCAAAAAAGTCATCCAAGCTCCAGGGATTTTCTTTTTTTTTTTTGCCCTTTCAGTTCTCATTTGCAAACGAAACCCCAAACATGTCTGCTCCCACACTATTACTATTGGCTTTGTTCTCCGGTGTCTCCCTGGACCAGGAGGAGCCCTCTGGGTGCTCAAGGGGCCTTTTGGAGAGGCGGCTGCACTCCACATCCCACGCTGCCATGCTGGGATCCAGCTTCCCCATTTAAATTCGTTAAATTGGTGTGAAACCTGCGTATAAGCGAGATGCAGCCCTGGCATCTGCAGCAGCCTGGATGCTGTGCTTGGTAGGTGGCCCATATAAAAATAATGCCCATATAAAAGTAACACCCTTTGGCCCTCAGGCATTGGGCACATTTAACACCATTGGTTCCTTGAGCTCTGGTTTAGCTGCTGTCAAGTCCCCCCATACCAGCTTGGTCCAGCATCACCCTGAGTGACAGTGCCTGGTCCAGCCCCAGCCTCACTCTCCCATCGGCACTAGCACCAAAACCAGGTTGCAGAGGGGCTGCACCTCTCAAAAGCCCCTTTTCCACGGAAGCCCTTTTTATTTTTCCTCTTTTCCTTCTCTCTTTTCACTGCAGCTTTAAACGAGGCTGCGAGTAAAGAACCGATGGATTTGGAATGGGAAGCTCCTGAACAGAACAGCTTCACCTCGGGGTGTTTGCTTGCCCAGTAGCTGTGAAGAAGAGGTGGGTATGTCTAGGGTTTGCCTTGAAACCTCTCTGTGCTGGCCAGGCTGTGGAGCTGGGTTCTCACCCATATTAGCGTTTACTGTGGTTTTCTTTGGGCTTTTCCTTGTTTTTTTCTTTCTTTTCCCCTCTTCCTGTGTGGACAGTGCTGTGGCCTACACTCATGGAGCTGCTGCAAAGCAGAGGCTGGCATTACATGTTGTAGGCTGGGATTCCTTTCAGTTTCTTGCTATACGGGTCTCAGATGGGTTCTGTAGGTGAGTACTGAGTGCTAAGGGGCTTGGGCTTGGACCACCTGGGAATTTGGGTCCTGTTTAAGATTTCTGCTGGGTTTTTTGTGTCTTGGGAAGCGGCTCAGTGATGACAGGCAGTGGCCAGGGTGCGGGATGCTGGGCTGGGGATGCAGGGGTCACCAGGTCTAGGCCAGGGCAGGCCAGTGGCCCAGACCCCTCCTTGGAGAAGCCTAAAGGGGTTTGCTCAGAGCTCGGTGTCCGGGTCCCCCCATCACCTCCCTGTGAACCCCTGCAGCAGCCGGGACACCCCCAACACGGAGCCTGGCAGTGGGTGCTGATGTCAGACCCTGGAGCACGAGCAGCGCGAGGAGCCTCCCTCTGCACCGTAAGAAGTGAGCAGGCAGAAGGCACCGGAGAGACTTGAAACCATACATTTATTATTCCACATGGAAAGTCATTAAAATGATACACGGAGGCCTGACTATAACCACGTACACCGGGTAAGAGCGTCGACACCGATAGCAGAAAAGCAGACCTGACCGCTTTGCTATGGCTTTGCACCAGTGCTCCCGAAGGAGCCGGCTCTGTTCTCACTGAAGGCAGCACAGCAGAGGCTCCTCCAGAGAGAGCCGATGCCAGCGACTTCAACAGGAGCAGACCCTCTTCTTTCTCTCCCTCCTTCCTTGCCTCCCCCATCCCCAGTCACAAGTGCTACAGATTAAAAAGATGGGCTACATATTAAATATAGGGCATTACCTTCAAGTAGGGCTGGTATATTACACAAATAACCACATTATTTGGTATCACTAGCAATTTTAATGTCCATCATAAGACACCATTAAAAAACCCAGCAAATTTAGCCTTCTTTATCTACAAAGACCTTTCTTCTCATCTCCTTAGCTGTCTGTTGTTATTTTACCCTGCACATACAAGTATTAGAAGCATTATTAAGAATTGGATCCTTCAACACATTAAAGAATTATATTATTATAACAAATAAGACCAAAAATTAGATTTTATAGTTAAATATTCTGTGAGCCAGACAAAGGGGTTTTACTGTACAAGCGATTGTGCATTTTTAAAAAAAGCAAATTATAGTGCAAAGCAAAAACCTTTGGCCTGTCTTGCGGCCACTTGCATACAATAGAGGTGCACACGTCGGCACCTTCACATGACAATATGTCATAACAACATCATTGCCATTCTTTTTATCATTTTATTCTTTAAACTCACTACGAACAGTCTTAAATTAACCTAGTACTACGAATGCCTTGGTTTCTTTGTGCTTTCAATCAGTGGTGTGATCGGATGCTAAACGTAAATGCATCAGAACACAGGCTGCCATGGTCCAGTTTCCACCGCCGGCAAGCGAAGGTTGCAGTTTGGCTGGGGTAGGGCTCTTTAGTTTTCTTCTTATTTAAAAGAGTTGTTCTTCTTGTTGCTTATTTAACTCATGAGTGGTCATTGCATCTTTCCAACTAAGCCAGCATGTCTTGCTCCAGTCATGACGGGGTAGTGCAATTACAACGTTCTGTACTTCAACCGAGTGCTGACAAGCTGCCAACTGAGATTTGGTGATGGGCTGTAATGGTGTCACTGAGACAGAGGGGCCGGGAGGGCAGCTATGAGCTTCAACTTTCATATGCTCGAACACCCCCCCACCCCTCTCCCCCAGATCTTGGTTACTGGTGGCACTGGGGCCATCTGTGTCCCCTTCTGATGCTGGAGAGCAGAGGGTACCATAGATACGTGCTCCCTGGGAACCTCAGCCACCTTTCCAGATGCCTGCCAGCACCTGTGAGGTGCCTGGGGACCCGATTCCTCCTAATGCCACATGATGCAAGCAGCCACCAACAGGCTGGTGGTACCCTTAGCACCCCTTCTTCAGCTTATTCAGCCACAGCAAAACACCCGTGCTCAGGCTCACTCAGGGGACTGGAGGGCGAGGACCTGGAAAAGGCTAGATAGATAATATTGCTTCACAATATTCCCACCACCAAGGGACTGAGTAGAAACTGCTCCTTTCTCCAAATCTCAGTTAGAGCTTTCAGTATGAACTGACAAGTGTAAGCTGCTTCTTAACAAAAACAAAGTCATCACGTGTCCATCCGCTCTGGCTGAAAACACGGGCAAGAATCATCACAGAAAATATGATGCTTCGCCACCAGCTGCATGTGCTGCCCCTCGAAGAGATCGAAAGGAAGACCCAGAGACCAGTGGCAGGGTCATGCCAAAAGCTCCGAAGTCCTTTCTGCAGCTAACGCGCACGGAAGTGCATCTCATACATCTTGGATTGTCCTGAACGCCGCCTTCACCGCAGCCGCCATCGCTGAGATGTGCTGAGGGGAGCAAAGAGCCGAATGGTGAGGTCAGGACGGGAGAGCAAACAAAAACTGAAACACGTCTCGTGAAAAGTACATCTCATGTAAACATCGAGGCGAGGGCGCAGCCCGGCCCGGCTCAGCCACGTTACTGGTTAAAAGTGACGACAATGACAGGAAGAGAACAATAGAACCTCTGTCGTCAACAGCAAGTCACAACAATCACATCACAGCTCTCCTTCGCGTGGCTGACCCGCGGCAGTGCTGCAAACCCGACCCTCTCGCGGCGCCCGCAGCTCTTTGGTGGCTGGGGCCCTGCGCTGGCAGCAGGGAAGGGGAGGATGCAATAGGGGTTATCCTTTTGGTTTTTTCCTTTTGCTTTATCAGTTCAGTCTCCCTGCGGTGGCAGAGGGATGGCTTTGGATGATTCCCTGCTCTCTTCTCTGAAACACTCTGCAGAAGAAGGATGAGCTTTTCCTAACTCTTGAATTCTTTGTGCGGGGAAGAGGTGCGAGTGAGATGACTGAGGAGTGTTCTGCAAGAAACAAACATCTGATTCCACATGTCCTTTTCTCTTTTTCTCTCCCCTATGTACAATCCACATACTGAAAACATATGAAAAGAACCACATCAAGCAACGAATTCAAGCCTCAAGTGGATGTTCATCTTGAAATGTAATGTCGGTCTTGGGTCCATCTTCGCTTGATGTTTGCCTATGCTTGCATGCAGAGATCCTGGTTTGCTTTTGGTTTGGGACACTTTGGTTTACCTTCTCCCTAGGCATCATTTTGCTCTATTCACTATCAAAGGGAGTAACATAACGGTGGCTGATTAAGTTAAAGGTATCGGTGCCCAGCTGAGTTCCTCCTAGTAGGGTCTCCAGACCGACTCGTCCATCCTCCCAGTAGTTGTCATGGTCGTCGGCGAGTTACTGTGGCTCCCATCTGCATCCACCCCATCATTCTGGTTGCCCAGGTTGGGATTCATTAAGTTGTTCCCTGCTGAGGCACTTGTACAAGAGGAGAGCATCCGGGTGGGCGACCGCTCGCCACCGCCTGCCACCATGGAGAACTGGTAGGAGCCCGAAGACGTGCCGTAGTACAAATGGTAGGGAGAGGGGTTGGCCTGGAAGGGTCCACTTTGGTTCTGTGTGGAGCCGGGGTAGGGGGGTGGCAGGTAAGTGTGATGGAAGCGCGTTGTGGTGGGCATGCTGGTCATGCTGATGCCCCCGATGCCGGTGGCAGAGGGAGTCGCGGTGTAGGGGAAGGCGGCAGACATGGCGCCGGGGTAATGCATCCGCGGGTCGGAGAACCTGGTCTCGGTGAGAGCCGGCAGCGTCGGGAAGGAGCGGTCGAACTGCCGAGGGTCAGAGAAGGGGCTCAGCTCTGACGTGCCTGTTGGGGGGCAGGAAGAAAGCGGGTGGTTAGAGCTCTGTCCTGGAGGCTGGTAGCGTTTGTCCTGTAGCCTGCACCATCCCCTGCCCAAGGCATTAAAGTCAGAGGGAAAAGCAACTCCTGGATCTGCCGGGGAACTTAAATACAAAAACCCCTAAAGCCATTTGTTTAAGTTGCTCCCATTTCCTGTCCTAAAATTTGTCGTTTCCTATCCAAGAAGGGACACGACCGAGCTGACTTCGATTCATCTCTGGCAGATTAAAAAACACACCCCATAAACACAGAAAAAAACTGTTTAGCCATTACATCAGCTGTGTAGTAAATAAATGGATGCGGGCCCCAGACGGCCGGACCCTGGGATGGTCGGTGGTGTGTATACACACACCCGGAGACCGGGAGGAAAAGCTGGAGTCCAGACCAGCCTGCTAAGCCTCCTGTGGGTGGCCTGTTCGTGCTGATACCATCAGGGGATGAAGCTGATAAACACACAGCTAAAAACTCCCAAGCCAGGAGCCACAGTATCCCCTGCTTGATTTCTCTGTGTATTTTTCTCCTTCCAAGAGAATGAAGGGAATGAGAAATTCAGGCTTTCTTCTGCTGGGGAAGGGAGACTTGGGTCAGAGTGGTGGGGATGGTACCCAGCTCCCTCGGAGCCCCCCATGCCTTTTCTTGGGGGGTCTAAACCCAAGGGGGTCACAGCCAGCTTGTAACTGGAGAAGGACCTGTACTCAGTGCTGCCGGGTCCCGTCCTCCTGCAGGAAGCCCATGTTAGAGATGGGAATCCCCACCAGCAGGTCCTTTGGGGGCCTCAATGCTTTCCTGTGGCACTCCCAGCTGACCCAAGGCTGCTGCCATCTCCTCCCAGAGCCCAGCACACCTCTGGCCTTGGTGCATCTGAGACAAAGAGAAATGAGTTTTGCTCTACAGGGAGAGCAAACAGAGCAAACCTTCTGTCCCCAGGACATCAGCAGAGCACGCCAAGTTCTGGCATGGGTTATGCAGGACAGCACAGCTGGAAACGCTGCGACTGTGCCCTCCTCAGCCTTCCAGCACCCTCACGAGAGGAAAACCCCTAGAAAGAGCAGCTCTAGCCCAAAGCACTTGGCTGCTGCACTGAGCCCAAAGCCTTGGCCACCTCGAGGAGGCTCTTCAATGGTTCTGTTTGCTCCCAAGACCCCTTGTTCTCCCTTGCTAAGAGCAGGGGCATCATGGCTTTCTGCTTCGGCAATGCAACGTCATCTGGCTTCAGCGGCCTTTTTTTTGTCACATCAGCTGGATTTTAAGTCGACTCGGAGCAGGAAAACATGTGAGATGAGCACGGCAAACATGCGTGTTGGTGTTGGATATGCATGTATCTACAGCCACACGCATTCATGTGGCTGTCTGTTTGCTCTGCCTGCACAGGGACATGTGCTTTATATATATTTATTACAATGAAGCATTTTTAACTTCTCAGGGCCGGTGTTCCAGGCCCTGCGGTGTTTCCCCAGGAGAAGTCACCTGAGCTAATCCCTTGCAGCTAACTCGTGGCGAGGGCACGCTGTGGAGGTGCAGATCGGGAGGGGATTGGGGCTGAACCCTCTTTCTCATCCCAGGCGAGTCCTTCAGCCACCGCGCTGGAAGGAGAAGGGGATGGGAGGTTCCTCCCTCGCCTCCGGCCATTCTGCGGGATCTTCCCACGCAGGCTCCAGGAGGAGAAAGGTGGAGGAGCGCCCGGTCTGTGAACGTGGCTGCGGCTTTGGTGCGAGATAAGAGAGGAGCAGCTCAAAGCCGCTCTGCTCACACCCAGCCTGGCCGCCGTGCGGAGCCTTCAGCGTGCTCGGGCTGGCTGCAAAAGCACAACGCAGCGAAAAGCGCTCACAAGTGACCAGCCCCGCCTCGTCTCGCCCCTCCGCCCGCCGGCAGCGAGCTCTGCCCCGTCCCGGAGCCGCGCTACTGCAGGAGCAGCATCAGAGCTGCTGCCGGGCGCGGGGAGCCGAGGTGTGGGGACCGGCTCTGCAAGAAGCAGCTTGGCCAGAGCCCGTCCTTTCAGCCCCGGTCACTTCAGCCCCGGTCCCTTCAGCCCCGGTCACTTCAGCCCCCGTCCCTTCAGCCCCCGTCCCTTCAGCCCCGGTCACTTCAGCCCCCGTCCTTTCAGCCCCGGTCACTTCAGCCCCCGTCCCTTCAGCCCCCGTCCCTTCAGCCCCGGTCACTTCAGCCCCCGTGCCTTCAGCCCCGGTCACTTCAGCCCCCGTCCCTTCAGCCCCGGTCACTTCAGCCCCCGTCACTTCAGCCCCCGTCCCTTCAGCCCCGGTCACTTCAGGCCCGGTCACTTCAGCCCCGGTCACTTCAGCCCCAGTCACTTCAGCCCCCGTCCCTTCAGCCCCCGTCCCTTCAGCCGGAGCCCGTCGCAGCACCGCTGGCTGCGCTGTTTTGCCGTACACCGAGGCAAAGCAGTCTCAAAATTCCCCTCCCGAAACCCCAGGCTGCTGCTCGCTGCCTTCCCAAGAGCGATCGCGCCGTGCTCCTGTGGTAACTTTCACATGCCTGTAAATAATATTCCATGAAATGCAAATCGAACTAAACCCCAAGTGCTCAGGGCACGTTTCCCTTTCCCTCTGTAACGAAAGCACTCAAAGGGTTTTGGGGTGGTTTTTTTTACAGTCTAAGTTACATTGGCCTGAACTTGTAAAACTCAGCAGCTGGTCCTTGATACCGATTCAGACACAAGTGCATCCACCGTGCTGCTGTGGGGCCGGGGATGCACTGGCTGCTGTCTTCATCCTCACTGGGCCTCAGGGTCAAAGTTGGCCCAGAACAACGCCGGTCTGAGACCGAGAACCCCAGAACAGCCCCCAAACCAACCCCACTGCTGCATCTACCACTGTGCCATGGGGGGTGCGGTGTGGGTGCAGCCTTCCCGGGCTGTGGCAGCCCTGCACTGCTCCATGTGACGCCCTAGCAGCCACCGGCAGGCAGAGCCGGGCCGTGCCCGCTCCCTGTCGCGACACGGCACAGGCGGAGCGCGGACCCTGCCCCCGTGCTGCCCCCCCACGCCGAGGGGAAGCCCCAGCCGCGCCTTCCCTCCGCCAGCAGGGGGCGCCGCGGTCGCTGGGCAGGAGGCGGCCGCTAGGGGGAGCCGCGGCTCGGTGCGGGAGCGGCCGGAACGTGCGGGGCTGAGCCTTCATCCCAGCTCCTTCATCCCAGCTCCTTCATCCCAGCTCCTTCATCCCGGCTGCTCCTTCATCCCAGCTCCTTCATCCCAACTCCTTCATCCCAGCTCCTTCATCCCAGCTCCTTCATCCCGGCTGCTCCTTCATCCCAGCTCCTTCATCCCAGCTCCTTCATCCCAGCTCCTTCATCCCGGCTGCTCCTTCATCCCAGCTCCTTCATCCCAGCTCCTTCATCCCAGCTCCTTCATCCCAACTCCTTCATCCCAGCTCCTTCATCCCAGCTCCTTCATCCCCGCTCCTTCATCCCAGCTCCTTCATCCCCGCTCCTTCATCCCAGCTCCTTCATCCCAGCTCCTTCATCCCAGCTCCTTCATCCCCGCTCCTTCATCCCAGCTCCTTCACCTCAGCTGCTTCATCCCAGCTCCTTCATCCCGGCTGCTCCTTCATCCCGGCTGCTCCTTCATCCCAGCTCCTTCATCCCAGCTCCTTCATCCCCGCTCCTTCATCCCAACTCCTTCATCCCAGCTCCTTCATCCCAGCTCCTTCATCCCAGCTCCTTCACCTCAGCTCCTTCATCCCAGATCCTTCACCTCAGCTCCTTCACCCCAGCTCCTTCATCCCGGCTGCTCCTTCATCCCGGCTGCTCCTTCATCCCAGCTCCTTCATCCCAGCTCCTTCATCCCGGCTGCTCCTTCATCCCAGCTGCTCCTTCATCCCAGCTCCTTCATCCCAGCTCCTTCATCCCAGCTGCTCCTTCATCCCAGCTCCTTCATCCCGAGCTGCTCCTTCATCCCAGGCTGCTCCTTCATCCTGGCTGCTCCTTCATCCTGGGCTGCTCCTTCATCCCAGCTCCTTCATCCCAGCTGCTCCTTCATCCCATTTCCTTCATCCTGGGCTGCTCCTTCATCCCAGCTCCTTCACCTCTGGCTACCCCTCCACCTCGCGAATACACACAGGACAAAGCCACACAGCCCCATGCCTGCATCATCATCCCTCCTGCCTCACAGCTGAGGAGATCTCTACTGAAACAGCCCCAGCAAGGTCCAAATAAACCATTGCGTTTAATGCTCTCCGTAACACCCAACTCAGCAGCAAAGCAATCCTCCATCACGTTCAGCCGGACGTCAAACAACGTCAAACGATGAGCAAGTGATGCACCAAGCAAATGATGGGGAAATGGGTGTGGGTGAAGCTGAACCACGAACCCCATGTGCCCTTCAAGCCCCCACCAATCGCAGGCTGTAAAACACCCATCACCCGTAGCTCCATCACTGCATCACCCCATCACCTCATCGCTCCATCACCCCATTGTCTCTCACCCATCGCCCCATCCCCAGCGCAGGCAGCATCCGGCGCATCTCTCACCCATGTGCGTGCTGCTGCTATGGAGGATTTACTACGCTTGCCTCCCTTGCTCGCCGTCCAGCCCCATTTGCTTTTTTGGGCCCTGGCAATCTGAGCTTGAGTATTTCAGTTGTCCAGTTGCCAATCAAAATATTTGAAGGAAATGTTTATTTTCTTCTCGAAATCACACCAGCTGCTGCACTAACTGAATAAGCCCATTTAGCTGTAAGAATTTAACCATTGTAAGAGTGAATTGAGTCCCCCAACTACTCCAAAATCTGACCCAATCTATCAGCGGAAATGTCAATGTTTTGGATGGGAGTTTGGGGAAGTGTGGAATGTGTATTAAATAAAAGCCATGTAAAGGTCAAAGCCCTGATTAGTAATGCCACTGTCTCCTGGTTAGGGCTGTGCTGCTGGGGGACCACGGAGGCCAGGACACACCCCAGCGTTTAATTGTGCAGCTGCAATTTGCACCTTTTGAGGACCCCCAAGCTCCCCCCC